AATTTGAAAGAAATGTTTTCAACTAGAGACTTTTGATGTCAAGTCCTGGTTTCTTTGCACCATACATTAGCTATCTTGAAATTCTCTTCCTATCATGTTCCATACCACAACGTAATTTTACCTTTAACACGATCACATCCTCTACTTCTTTCTCTCTCCCATCGAAATTCACCATCACCAAAACAATTCCTTCAGGCTCCTGCTCTTAAGGGTCCCTGATAAATAAGCATTGCTGAGAGATAGTTGCAAGGTGAATATTCCATCTTCTCTAAGATTCAGAATCCCAGGTAATATTTGCCTGCTATCCTAGGAGGTGCCAGGCCCCTTTGTTGATACTGTCTGCATTCCATCTTGCTAGATTTTGTATTTATAGAATCAGAATTAGTGAAAGAGTCCTTAATTTGAGGAATACGTTCTTTGATTATTTAACTTATACATCGAAAATATTCCTGACTTCAAGAGAAATATAAACTTACTAAAATATATCAAGTATCCCATATAAATATCAGGTCCAGTAATTTTTTTACACTTTCATGCATATATTAGCAATATTTTTATGTTGAACTTTAATATAAATGATTAAATACAACAATATAATTCAAAATGTAGATTTACTGTATATTCCATGGTTTTAAAGAAATATTCTTGGTAGTAATAGGCAATGTTTGGAAATCTTATATTGTTTGGATAGCAAAAGATAGAGAAATCATATGGCTGTGCTTCCAGTGAATGGTCTTGAGACTTCATTATTTTAAAAAATAATAGCATCATTTTTTTTCTTGCTGAATTCATTAGATTTCCTCCACCTTTATGTCCAACAGAAAATATCTGTCACTTTAATGGAAATAAATAAAATGGTTCTACAGTACTGGCCATCAGCATGCCATCAATTTAAGAAAAAGCTTGAAGTTATTTGGTTATAATGAAATAAAGCCTTTTTGGCTATGGTAAAGGTGACACTACATTGTCATTATTCTTACAAAGATGGATAGAACAAAATTAAATTATAATTAAATATAAATTATAATGACAATAGGATAATAAGTATTTAGGTCAAGCGAATAAAGATTAAAGTTATTATAAAACTAAAGAGTACTTGTGCAAGAATGTAAAATCTTGGGGCAAATGTATTCATAAGGCAGGGACAACATTTCACATGAATGATGTCTGTCATGTATGATTTGATTTGAGTGATGCTAAGAAGAACATATGTCCTTCCAGATGCATACACTCCACATTAGGACTCAGTGCCCAAGGTTGAAGACTGGGTTGTTCCCCAAGCCCATATTATCATTGAAAGAAAATTCACCACCATCCAAAGTTTCTTTCTTTTTCCTCATAAAAGACCTAGTTAGATAGCTTTCTTTGCTCTATTGACTATATCTCCCCAACAGCATGGTTAATACAGGAGCCTGGGAGCAAAACTGCTTTGAATTTCATTTTGCAACCTACAAGACTTTTTGTTGTGTTGTGTTGTGTTTTGTTTTTACCTCCAACAAGTGACTTAAACTCTCCATGCCTCAGTTTCCTCATCTTTAATATGGGAAAATAATAGAATTTTCTTCTTGAGTTGTTATGCCTATTAAATGAGTCTGTTCCTATAAAGTTTAGAATATTGCCTAGTCCTGGCACATGGCACCACCTCAATAAATGGTACTAAAATTTTTATACCATCACATATTTGAAGTTAACATAATACCATGTACACAATTTATGAAAATATAAATTAAACAAATATTTCATTAGTGCTTAATGTCTACAAAATACCATGTTAGGGATAGAAACCAAAACCTTAAGGAAGTTAGACGTCATTGATCAGAACTTCATAGTTTTCTTCAAAGGTTTCTAATTTAGAGACAATTAGTTTACCACCAAATCTATGATAATATTCTAGTATTCAGTAACAGGTCTAGTCTTCTGAAAGTGTGAGTTATCCTTACTATTCATTGGATTCGAGGACATCTGATCATTATTCCTATCCAGGGCTTTCAAATGAATTCTGTGTGAAAGTGAAGTCATGCTAGCTTTCCATTTCTCTTGGGATATCAACTCTTTGACATCAACTAAAAGACTGTGTTTTTATTAGGTTATTAAGTATGCAATGTCTGATTTCTTTAAGTACTAAGTTTGACAGTTAATAGCTGACATTTCACATTGACACTGCTTGTTTGTTTATTTGTTCGTTTGCTTTAATTGCGAAGGTGCATCCTTATTCTTTCAAATGCACATTTTGGCTTGTAATTATCTTTCCAACTCTTTTTAGAGCAATTTTTGTGAAATCATGGATAAGTCAAAAATGCGTTTTGAATATGAGTTCCATCATGGAACTAATGCAGTGCAGAAAGCTCAAAATAATCGACAAAGTGTTTGGGAAGGATGTGGCTAATGAATGTACAGTACATCCATGGTTTGAGAAGTTCTGTTCTGGTGATTTTAATCTTGAAAATGAGTCATGTGGGTAACCTGAGACCAAGGCGGATAATAATGAGCTGAAAGCTATATTGGAAGCAAATCCATCTCAACCTATGCATGGTTTAGCAGCAAGGTGTTTGACATTACTATTCCAACCATATTGGACCATTTGAAACAAATCAAGGTAAAGAAGCTGGATAGCTGGGTTCTGCATGAATTAAAGAAGCATCAGAAAAGAAATCATCTCAAAGCTTGCCTTTCTTTGCTGTCACAACATAAAGGCGAACCATTTCTACACCGTATTATTTCATGTGATGAAAAATGGATTCTTTTTGACAATTACAAGTGTTCAGCACAATGGTTAGATAAAGATGAAGTGCTGAAACACAGTACAAAACCAAATAGTCATCAAAAAAAGCTAATGGTGTTTGTTTGATGGTCCAGCGCTGGTATTATCCACTACGGCTTCATGAAACCTGGTCAGTTGATTACAGTGGATGTCTACTGCAACCTATTGGATGAAATGAGGATACTTGCAATTAAGTAGCTGAGATTGGTCAATAGAGACAGGCCAATCCCCTTGCAAGACAATGCTCGACCGCATGTCACACAAACAATGCTGCTCAAATTACAGAAGCTAGACTTGGAAACTCTCTGTCATCCACCGTATTCACCAGACCTTGCCCCAACTGACTACCACTTCTTTCAGGCTTTGGACCACGTCTTGTGAGGAAAAATATTCAATTCTCAACAAGCTTTGAAAAACGCCATTCTCAGTTTCATTGCCACTTGCTCTCCAGACTTCTTCACTGCTGGCATAAGAAGCTACTGTTAAGATGGCAAAACTATGTCAATAGTTTATGCACACACTTTGATTAACTGTACTGCTTCTTGTTTGAGATATAAAAGACTAAACTTGATTTGAAATTAGACATTTCATATTTAATGACCTAATACTAGCTTTAGCAATATTGTCTCAGGCTCTTCTCCTCCCCCCTCTCTCTCTGTTCCAGCCACGTTGGCTTGTGTCAGGTGCTCAGACATGTGACACTTCTTTGCATCTCCCCATCCCTTCACTGTGCTCCTTCCTCTGTGTGGCTCACTCTTTCCACACATCATGTCTGGCTTACACCCCTTCAGATTTCCACTTACAGTTCAACCGCTCAGGGCAATGATCTCTGATTCTTTATCAGAATGGGCTGCCACCCTGTCACATGCTCCCGTAGAACCCTCTGTCCTTTAACATTTGGCACAAGTACAATTTCATAATTAACTTCATAACAACAACGGAAGGACATCATGTTCACAGATAACTAATAGTAATGAAATTATATGTACTTAGCGCCTCATTAGTAAAAGAGAGTAAGGACAAGAGTGAATGGGAGAGAAAGAATGAGAATGAGAGAGAGAGAGAGAGAGAGAGAGAGAGAGAGAAATGTTCAAATAGTGTAGGTCATTCCATACACTGTTCCACTTGATGAGTTTATGACCTGATGTCCAGGAGTTGGCATTAGATGACAGGGTGGCCCTGCTCTTTCTTCAACCATTCTTATTAACCAATTGTCGTTCATTGTGGAATGAAATACTAGTATTTGAACATACATTTTTCAAACATCATGATTCCTTCATAAAAGGGAACAACTTTATCTTGTGCTCAGTGAAGAAAGAAAATGACTCTACATGTCTAGGAAAGTTGGTTGTGTTGAATTAATTGAAAGACACTGTTGGGACTTTGGGGGGTAGCACCTTGCTAGGGAATTTTTTAGGGTAATTAAATGATGTGCAATTTAAATTTGTTAATTCATAACCTAACAGAAGAAGGAGATGGAGGTCTCACTATTTGTAATCCTTGCCTACAGTATAAGGCCTTTGAAGGTAGAAGATACATCTGGCAATTTTATCACCGCCTCTAGTACATAGCAGGGTGCTGTGATCATACTAGAGCTTAAGAAATATTGTTAAATGAATGAACATTCCACCAATGTTACAAGATCAGTCTACTTGGCAAAAATGAAAAGTTTGGACTTATGAAAAAAAGTAGAATACAGAATAGCCTGCATCTCTGAAGAAATATAACGACAGGAAAACTAAATGTGGGACAGGACATAGTTTAGTATATTATAATGAAAACTTACAGGCCGGGCGCGGTGGCTCACACCTGTAATCCTAGCACTCTGGGAGGCCCAGGCGGGCAGATTGTTTGAGCTCAGGAGTTCGAAACCAGCCTGAGCAAGAGCGAGACCCCGTCTCTACTAAAAATAGAAAGAAATTAATTGGAC